AGAGTAAAAGGTTAAAATGTGCACAGGAGGGATGGACACCGTTTTCATGCATAGAGTTAATGGTTTCCTCTGCTTCTGAGTATTTCAGACTCTCTGTGTAGGCTCGAATTAGGGACAGGTAGGTAAAGGAGTCGGGTAAGCAACCATCTCGCTGCATGGCTTTGAATAATTCCTCTGCTTCTTGATAAAGGCCCCCAGCAGCATATACATTGATCATTATATTATAACTGACCTGATTTTCATGTAAAAGACAAGACAACACACTCAGATAGCAGCTTTACACTTCCATATAATCATGAACGTCAATTCATAAGAAATGTAATATTTTTCAACCACCAGGTTGCTTGGGACAAGCCCTACTGTTGCACCAAGACATACCCTCTAGAATTATTAATGAGTGATTACTAATTAGTCAAAATAAATCTTTACTCATTCCTTTTAAGTTTTAAATAATCTCAATTCTGCATACCATCCCAGGTTTTATCCCTTCTTCTCGCATTTTGCTGAATAGCATGGATGCTTCATGCCTTTTTCCTACAAAACAAACACACTAACGTTATGAACAATTACAATTTACAGACAACGAAGAAATCTGATAGCTGAAGAGTCTACGAGATATCCACTAGAAAAAGGAATAAGAACATACCTGCTATGTATAGTTATTAAAGGTTATATACATTGACTGGACAAAACAGCATTTAGTATTATACACTATTCCATTTCAATTAGCACCAATGAACTAAGCCAATAGCAAAACTGAGGAACACCATTCAAATTTTTGTGACAATTCACAATATCTAAAATTGTTTACTTGGTGGGGGATTTAGAACAATACCAGCTTTCCCATAGTAGCTAACCAGATTCATATATGCCTTCTCATCCAAAGACAAACCCAAGTTGCGAGCCGTAGTGAACATCTCTACAGCCTTTTCCAGCTTTCGACCTCGACCGTAAACACTGCACCCATAGTTCGCCAATATGAACAGCTTTCAATATATCTTTTTAATTAATCGCACAACAGAAAAAAGTACACAAAGCTATTACCTGATCATGGTGCTATATGTCCGAATTGATGGAGCAACCCCCTCAGAAAGCATGCGCTCATAGATACTGGATGCAAAATGCAACCTACCTGCATCATGAAAATTACCAAGTTAATGCAAGCTTTCTTCTACTCAAGCGTTTTTACTGAAAAACTGAAGCAGCCCATATCAACCTGCTTCCAGCATAGCCTTAATAAAAGTATTGTACGCCACAGTATCTAGCTCCAAGTGGTGCTCAAGGCTTTCCCGGATGACATTCTCTGCTTCTCTATGTTTCCCTGGAGATGAGTTTTATTATGATTAAAATTGGTGCAAGGAAAAGTTATGTAGTAAATTAACAGCAATGATGGGCATGGTGGTTTTATACATAATGATATTAGGGAAGCTGAAAAGCTTAGTGAATTATGCTATTTATGCTATTTCCTATAAGATGGTAGAAATGATAAAAATGTATAAACTCGGTTGCTCTATCATCTGATAGTCTATAGTCTTTGCTAGGCTAACAAAGCTTTCCAAATTCGTACCACTGTTAGTCAAAGCATTGACAACTATGCTGATGGCAACAGCATCCAGATCGTGTCCTTCCTCTGTAAGCTGTTTGTAAAGTGCGTATGCCTCCTGTGGTTTACCACATTTGGCATATGCATCAAGCATTGAGTTACATAGTAATTTTTTGGCTAAAGGAGAATCTGCAAATGCTGTAAATATTTCCAGGGCCTTCATCAGCTTGCGTTTCTTTCCATATAAACTAATCACAGAAGCAACCGTGGCATCATCCACCCTGCAGCCAAGCTTGGCCAATTGATTGATATGAGTTTCTGCTTTAAATGCATCACCTGCACGGAAATTGATGTCAAACTTCTTCAGAGGCATAAAAACTTACTCAGAGGTGATTTGCATCATAAGTGTAATGTTTAACTGAAAAAATTGGTAAGATGGAAGTTGCTTGCCTTCTCTAATAATGTTCTTAATGAGCTGACTAGCAATTGATAAGCCAACAGAAGTCACCGGCAATGATGCTAGAACTTTTTTTGTCTTACTGATATCGCCATCTGTCAGATAGAGACTGAGCACCAGCCCCAGGGCCACGGTGTCAGGCTGGTCAAAAGTCACAAATTTTCCTTCCTTGTGTTCACACATAACACTAGAAATTGTTTGGACGAATCTACTATCCTGGCATACTCCGCTCGTACCCAGTTCTTCTACAAACTGTTCAGCATCTCTAAGCATTCCCTCCTTGCAATATACTCTCATAACTGTCCTGCAAAGCTCCTCGTCAAAATCTACTCGGTCTCTTCTTATCTGGGTAATAAAATCCTTAGCCTTTTCCAATAAGTTCAGTTTTATATACAAATTGAGCATATCATTGCAAGAGCCTGCATCAGGGAGTCCAGTCTTGGATAGAGCCTGAAATGTTACTTCAGCAGAACTCAGATCCTCCTTCATAACATAACACTGCAGTAAGACAATATAAGCAAATCTTGATAGCCAAATGTTTTTTCTAGACTTCATTAGTTCCATAACTTCTAAAGCTTTGTCGCAATTCCCTGAATTGAGATGGACTTGCGTCATTGCCAAATATGTTTTCTGGTCACTAAGTAAACCCAGCTGCTCCATCTCTTCAAAAGCTGTCTGAGCATCCTCGTAAAGACCAAGTTTTCCATATATTCTAATGAGCAAACCGTAGATCACTTCATCCGCTGCAATTTTCTTCCTTTCCATTTCTGAAAAGAGAGAAAGGGCTTTGGAGTAATCCTCCTTCTTGTAATACAACGTCAGAAGTGAAGCACAAGTGTAGTTGCTCGGAACTATTCCTAGAGACCTCATGTCTTCATATAATCTAAGAGCTTCATCAAATTTGCCATTTTTGGTGCTTAAACTGATGAGCAAACTATAAGTTGCCTCCTCAGGAACGATTCCAGCATTCTTCAACTCAATGAAATTCTTAAGAGCCTCCTCGTGGAGGCCTTCTTTGACGAGGGAGCCAATTACTACCGTATAAGTAAATTTATTAGGTACCACTTCAATGTCCACCATCTGCCTCCACATTTCTATGACCATTCCGTGGAGTGATTTCTTCTGCAAGGAGGACAACATAAAATTATAAACAGCAACAGAAAGTAGAATCCCCCTTTCTTGCACAGCTGAATAAAACGCCAGCATAGCCTTGTGACGCCCCCATCTGGCGTATGTACAGAGCATGGTACCGCAAGCAACTTCATCCGGTTCACACCCAGATTCGAGCATCTCCAAGAAGGTTTGCTCAGCCAGCTTGATCTTCCCGACCTGGCCATATGCCCGCAATACTAACGTGTAGACAATAACACTTGGGCGGTAGCTTAACTGTTGAAGCACAAGGTTGTGTATCATTACACATACACACACAGAAATGTACTACTAATCCCACCACAAAAAAACCCACATGAAAAACAAGACGAAATTTCTGAGTCTTCAGAGTATTTACCATGAAAAGCACAGTATTTTCTTTTCCTTTTCAGATTTCAAAAAAAAAAAAAAAAAAAAAAAACACATGAAATTGAAAAATTGAAAAAACGATAGTGGCAGCTGAATTAAATGAAATGGAAATGGCTGAGAAAAAGGCAGGAAATTACCTGCAATTTCATCCAAGAGAACAAGTCCCTGACTTGCCTCCAGCTCTTCTGCTCCTTGAGCACCACACACATTTCTCTGAAGCTGAGCTTCCCGACGAAGGAGGCCATGACGGCGCGCATGTCGTACGCCCCCTCGGACTTCTCGGACAGCGCTCTAACGTGCTTAATGGCGGCGACGACATGGCGGCCGTAGAGGTGGCCGTTCCTGTCGTCGTGCAAGTAGCTGACCATCTGCTCGGGGGTCCGCTTAATCCACTTGGGGGTTTGGGCCTGTGGGCCCTGGTTCCGGCGGAGGGCGCTGAGGTAGTTGGCCTTGGCCTTGATGATGCGGCGGGCGTTGTCGTCGGAGAGGGGCTTTTTGGGGTTCTTGGACCTGGGTTTGGGGCGGTCGGGGTTGTTGCCGTCGCTGAGAGACCAGGGGTCCGGGCTCACCGAGGACTGTACTACAATGTTGGTGAAGGTGGTTTTAGGTTTGGGGGAGGTCGAGGGAATTTTGAAGGCGGTGGTGTTGGATTGGGAACAATGGGAGGACAGCAGTGGACAGGTGCACAACAAGGAAGAGGAGTACGTTGTCAGCGACTCCATTTCCTTTTCCGCGGGAAAAGAAGCCACCACAAAAACCACCGCCGCGACTCCACTCTACAGACACTAGAGAGTCGAGTAGAGAGGATAACAATAATATTATCAGTTAATTCATTAAAAAAATGAAATTGGACCATTCGTCCTAAATTAAGACCAATCCTTAAGAGTTTTTTTTTTGTTTTTTGGAATGTCGAGTTTTGGACTAAAAACAATATATTTTATACCAGGGGAGGGGAGAGTTCGGCTGCCACACTATAGACAATTTAATTTAATATTGAATTTGTGATTTACAAGATTCTAATCTAAGACATCTCACTTACAAGTGAAGAAGAATACACCAAACCATAGTACTGAATGACTGTTAAAGTTTTGGTCTTCGACTGTCATGCACTTAATTGTTAAACCATAATAGAATTGGCTCAAAACAACAATTAATCAAAGTTGGATTGAAATTCAACCTAGTAACTTACTCAGAAGTGAAATTATATTTATTTCTGATTTCAAATGTGTGTTAATCTTCCCAATTCATTCTGTCTATCTCTCTCACGATATTTCTAATTTTCCTGATTCATTCTCTGATGCCCTTGAGGTTGACGATTCATGACTTTGCACATCCCATCCCATGTAAGTAGATGCGTGTGACACAGAACGTTCATGTCGTACGTATTACCTGGACACCATCATATCATGAATGAAACCAAGCATTCGAACGCTGAAGGACCAACGATGAACAATAACTTGCGAAAATGTAAGACGCAGTACAGAAGAAACTGTCGAATCAATCGTATCATTCTAATCTTGTAGGTGAACAATTCTCATCAGACAACATACACAGTCCACTTTGAATTCTACTACGACGGAACGGAGGCCTAAAAACAGTAAAACTGGCAAAAGAATGGGATACAAATTACAATAGCACATATTGGACATGCAATGCAAAGCAACTCATTTGCCACAGCCAACATCCTCCCGAGTTATATCAAACCAACCAAGACTCATCTGCTTCTTTGCAACCTAAACTACATCCAACTTATGGCAATATCTACCAACGACAATCATGAGGGTGCGGGATGACCTATTCACTTCCGGCAAACTACTCTCCACAATATACACATATGCTAACACTATTGTCCATGGTGCTCATGCTTGACACGTGATTTCAGTATTCCGGGACGGGGCGGTGACATGGGCGGTGCTCTAACTGGTGTGTTCATTGAAGCAAGAGGGATCTGTGGCTGATACATCCCTGACATGCTACAACCTTCGCCTCCATCTACTGTTAAGTTTTGTGTCGCATCATCACTCTGCTGCCTATTACAAAAATTCATTGCCTTCAAAACATAATTATCATCATGGAGCTCAAATGGGGTGCTGCAAAAACAAGACGATATACAATCAAAACATAACGAAATGATGAGTGCAAAACTTTAACGATTGAAAAAACTTTTTATTGAGCTATTACACAGAGACAGAGTTGACCCATTAACAGTGCTTCGGGCTCAAGTGCCATACTACTAGTGTTAACTATCTCTACTTATGTCCCCAGCGGACAATCGTGTATACATGTTACTACCAACTATCATGTCGTTCTGTTTGCAACAATATAAGAATGAAAGTTACCTATTGAAGTCAAAATGCACCAGCTGCATATCTTCTGATATTTCCACCTCAACAGTTGCATGAGGGCGAGTCTAGGGATAAAAGAAATGGATAAATAATAAGTACAAGGCATGATAAAGCAACTCAGACTCTATAGGGAAAACTCAAACGCCAAACGATAATATAAGGCACTTCTGATATCTCCAGGTGAAAGTTCCGAATTCTGTGTGTGACAACAGAAGTAATCAAGAATCAGATAACAACAAACTTGTAAAAAAGGATTCTGACAGCAAATTAGTCAAGTAAAGCGAATCATGTGCTTGTTCTTATTTAGAACGGGATTGAAGAGTTATAGTTGGTATAAAATATGGTATATCTTGTATCAAGCAGAAGGTTATGTCACATATCCCAAACCAACCAACCAACCAACCAAATTATACCAACCCATCAAATACAAACCATTTTGTTTTCATGCACCATACCTAAAAAAGCACTACTTTCCAAACTAACTCTCAGAATATGTGGTCATGAAACAAGGGAAACCTTGAGAAGAAAACTTGCCTGCACAAGAATGAAAGGTAATGCCACGCCTCCACTGGGCGCATCTCCAGTGTGGTATAATTCCTCATTCCGTTGTATCAGATTTTGAAGACCTACGTACTGATAAAAGAGATAAGAAGTAAGTGTGTGCAGACACTGATCTACATGGTTCAGTGCATCCTATCATTCAGACATGTTTTCACAGAACATTAGTAATTATAGTCGTCAAGTCAAGCACATATAAAAACCTCAACCGAGCCAAAGTCATGAAGCATGAAATAATGGACAATAGCTATTCATTACTTGTTCCTCCAGCTCTTGCAGATATGCAGATTTCTTTTCGATCCTATTCCTCAATCCCATGCGCTCGGTCTACATTTAATACATGTATAACTAGTTTTATAATCTCAAACTTGGGTCTACAACGGTCAACAGACAATAAACCACTTAATATACAAGAGACAAAAGATAGACTGCAATCAGACCTTCAGTTCTTCAATATCATTCAGGCTTGTACGAGGCAAACCCTTCCATTGTATTTCTTTTTTATCTTTAGATATAATATCCATTGCCATAAGAACATTCAGGGCATCATATACCCTTCGCCTGATGTTCTTCTCATCATCTTGTTGCTGCTAAATAAATTTGAACCCAAGAAAGGAAAAAGTTAGCAAATTCATTCCCCTTTTTTTCCCAGACGACTGCAGATGTATCAGCTTAGTTATCAAACCTGATCGGGGGATGTAACAGCATTGCTAGGGTCAGCAAACTCCGCTACAAGTTCATCTGCAACCTGGAATGCACTTCAAACTCTTAGGAGCAGAACTTATTTACATGCGGATCTTGAGAAAACTCTATTATCTGTTATGTCAATTTTAAATCACATTGCACCCCTCTATTAATGATAACAACATTGCCTAATGAGTCCCTTTGCTCCAACAACTTTTGCACCATTGTTCCCCAAGAAAGCATTTGATACATTACTCCCACTACACAGCATGGCTTCAGATGATGTTGAAATTTAATTGACCTCTGACACTGAGATTATACCACCCTCTGTAACAACAAGGTCATTCACTCACCTATGACTAAGGACTAAGGAGTAAGGAACACCTCAGTAGTTAGAGGAGAAACACTAGAGTCAGTAGCCTGCGAATCAACTTTCTTTAGCACCAAATAGGCAGCCACACACGTCAAATGGTTGTTTGATGAGAAAAATCCAAATTTGTTAATTATCAATCCTTGATTTGATGGATGCTAGAATAACCTACTTCAGTGACCTATTAGATCAAGATATGCATGAACCCTACCAGTTTAAACACACAAACAAGTACTGAAGGGAAAGAAATGCTCCCTGATATAATACATAATCCATTCGCTGTATAGGACCAGGAGTGAGCACTCAGAGGGCACAAAAGGAAAAAGAACAATATGCACAAACAGTCAAACTGAAACCATCTAACCTCATTATAAGTGGTTCTTCCTTTGCTCTCCACTTTCTCGCACACTGGACACGAGCAACACAGAATCAGAAAATCAGGGGAGAAGAAGTATAAGCATGGATGAAAATAACAACAACGTCCATCCCTTAAATGCAATTCATAGCCAGCTAAATTCAACCACCTTTTTGGAAGGCAAAACAGGATGTAAAGAGAAAATAAGATAAGACAAGATAGTGATCAATGAAGCACCTTTCATGCTGAATTGGCGTAGTCCTCTTCCATTCTTATCACCTGCCACGGCTCGTTGCCCTCGCTTCTTCTTCTTGCTACTGTTCAAAGCAATAATCATTTAGGGCAACTAAAAAGTTTAACAAGTGCTGTAAATGAATCAATGTCAATTGTCAAACAAATGTTTTACAAACATGTCCACAACTCAGCGTCCTGATTTCGGTTCTTCATTCCCATATATTTAGCCTAAAGTAGAGCGCTAGTTATCTCAATCTAATCGATGATGAGAGAGCCGAAATCAGGACTCCGAAACTAAACAATGTGGCTGCATATTCTACGAATGTATGCAGTGGATGCAAATAATCACAGATTCAGAGGACTCAAATAATAATCAAAACGAAAGTAGTAAACAAATAAAACTATATACAAGCCAATAAAATTAGACAAACAAGAAAATGAGCAGCGTATGAATATATTTATAATTACACAGAAATAAACAAAATAATTCGTTACTGTGCCCTAATAAGACCTGAAGCAGAAGGAAAAGGGAGGGAGGGAAGCGACTGACCCAACGGCGCCTTGGGAGCCAGCGTCATCGCCGTGAACGTCGGGATGGTTCAATCGAAGAAAACTGTTGTCGCCGGCGGGCGTGGCCATGGTCTGCTCACTGCGGCTGGAGGGTGAGCCCACGCTGCCGCTCATCGACACGGACTGACCCCCGGCCATTTCGTCGTCGTCCTGCCCTGCTCGCTCTCGTCCTGGTTGCTGCTGGGACCTTGTCCCCATCCTAATTCCAACCACACCACACCACACCACTGGAATCTGGTATTAATCGGAGAATTAATTAATTAATAATCCGTATTAATCTGTATTTACAGGGCGAAACCAATTGAATTCAAATCAATTTAGGCGAGCTGATCTTTGCAGTTTATGGGTGTCTCTGTGAATCTTGATTCTTCAAACCTCTTTCAAGATTACAATAGCGAAGAAGGAGAAGGTGAAATCAATCAGTCGTGCCAGTCCTAGAGAGCCCTAATAAAGCTCGCCAAACCAAATGCCACGACTGAAGTCTTGTATATGTAATTTACTTTCTTTTTCCTCTTTTTAGTAAGGTAAATATGGTTTTTTTTAAAGTGTTGTTACATTTATTATTTATTTATATCATCTCTTTAATAAGGTTAGGATTTACCAATGTACGTAGATCTCATTTCGATTAATAATATAATACAAATAGATGGTAAATATAACAGTTTTGTTATTTTTTTAGGGTGTATTCAGTTAGGAGTATTTATGATTTAAATGAGTTTATAAAAGTTGATGGGTATTCAATCAACATTTTAAAATATTTTATGCTCTATAAAAATCCTAGTATATTCATTTTGGACTTTAAATACGGATCCTCTTTGTGAGAATCCCCGAGATCTGTGTATTATATCAGTTCATCGTATATCGTGTGATCAGAAATCATTTTAAATATTTTTATTTCAAATTAAATACAAACAGTAACCGACAAAAACTGATCGATGTACGAACGAATACAATTTACGGATCCACCTTTGTTTGTAATCCCATCAAAGAATAAAGATGAGTTCCCAGGAGGTCAGTCCGAAAGTTACACCAAAGTTTGTATAGAAACCAGAGTTTGTACATGATCCACTGTGACGGAACGCGACTGGCTGAAGAATTCTGCCGAGATATGGGAATTGGTGAAGAGCTCTCCGGTCATTGCAGAATACATACAGCAGAATACTTCCTAGTTGTGGAATGTTTAAGAGATAAACAGCTCCAATGGCCTATGCCTGCCTTTCGTAACTCTCCTCCAGCACTCAGTGTCTAGTTTAGCTCTCGATTAGCGAGGGAAATCGATAGTTGGAGAATTTGATGTCTTTTTTCAAAGATTCAGTGACCTTTTTGTACTCCTGTTTTCCTTTTCTTGGTGGTTTGTCTACTGTCGTCGTAATTTACAGTAAATCGAGGCCCAGTATACGAGACCTGAATTTCATCGAAACAGAGAATTTGATCGTGCAACAAATTCCGTTCCAACTTGGTAAACAACAACTTTTGGCTTGAAATGGACAGTGCAGCAAGGTGGCAGGTTTCGATCTAAAATTCATTCGATTTCCAATTAGAAAAAAACAAGCATTACAATGGGATGGGGTTGAGTAGAGCGTTGACAAGTTGTGTCATAAGCTAGACACAAGTAATCTACTCTAGCATTGCATCCACAGAAGCTTCGGGGGTGGCAGCAGCAGCCGCCTTAGGAGATTTTCCTTTCTTCTTACCTGTCCATCAAGAAAACCAGAAAAATATGAGCACTCGCTAAGATCACGACGGTAAAACGAACATAACAACGTATGAAGGGAAGAGAAGCGAGAATATCAAAGTAAAACTTACCTTTGCCTTTTAGTTGTTTGATCTTGAGACTCTTCTTCTTCATGGGAAACTTTGAAGAAGAAGTCTTGGTGTCTCTAGATTCTTCTACTTCTACAAACAAAGGACCTTATGTCAGCTTCTTGGTACAAACTCCATTGAGTTTAACAGAAGCAAGTTAACTAACAATGCGTTGTTTAATTTGGTGTACAACGAGTTAATTAATCATGATTTTGGAGCTTGAGTATGTAATAGCAATAGTCGCGCATGAATCCGAAAATCAAGTAAGACATTGTCGACGAAAGATTAAAAATTCAACGGAGAGATTGAGAGGAGGAGTTACCATCAGCATCGGCAGCAGCCATTTCGACATCTTGCATAGTTATAAGTCCCTTCTTCACAGCCTCGTTCTGATCCTGAAAACAATTTTTTTTTTTTTGTACACAAAAATTAACGAATTATAGCAACAAATACATACAGATACAGTAATTAAGTTAGATTTTGACGGAGTGAGTAATCAAGGGGCAACAAAAACGAATACAAATTTAAAATTAGTATTGAGAGGAAAGCGTACTCGGCGCCATTTTTTCAAGAGCTTGCGCTTGCGCTTGCCGGAGATGGAGAGGGGTTGGGGCTTGTTGTGGAGCTTCCCGGTGGTTGGATCGCCGTGAACCGATCTCTTCTTCTCCGCTTTCTGCGCTCTCCTCCTCTTCTGCACCTCATTGAACTTCGCCATCTCTCCTCTCTCTCACTAAACCCTAGCCACCGCCAACTGCTTCAACTTGAAAGGAAAATATACTTTTTGTCAAAGTTGTTGTACGAGTTACGACGGCTGATGTGGATCGGGTCTTCTTAGTAAGCCCAGTCCAATACAATAAAAGGTTTTTGGGCTGACCCCAGGGCCCACACAAGTTTCAAATTTGGTTGCTGCTAAGGACACCCAAAAATTTCTTAAATACTACCAAACCGTTGTACTAAGTGATAACCCTCTCTTTAAAACTGAAGAAAAATAAAAATTATAGACAGTTTAATAATTACATGCAGCATGAATTTTGCTCTTTTTACTTCACCCTCAGAGCCATGTAAACATAGTAGGAAACCCACTATTTGTGACCAGATGAAGGCTGAAATGCCTTTGTGATTCTTTTCGATCTCCGAAAAGGATGCATAACCGTGGCTTGCCATAAATTGTCCCTTAAAATAAAAAAATAAAAAAAAATAAAAAAAGCCATGCAAACATAGTAGGTATCTTCCTCATTGGCAACAAATTTCCACCACCATTAATTCTCTCATTTTTATAAATGATTACACACTTCCCATTTAAAAAACAAAAAAAAAAAAATGTCAACATACGCAAAATGCAGGGGCATATGCTAGTATATGTTACAATAATATTATTTATACAACATGCTATTTAGGTGAACTATAATATATAACATAGATGAAGATTGGTTTCTCAACTTTTATGACTAATGTTTGGTTGCAACTTGCAACACCAGGAGTCCAGAAGTCCAGAAGTTCAGATGGCCTAAAGGCACTTGGCCTCAATTTCCTCAAGAGTAAGCCCCTTGGTCTCTGGGACGATGAAGAAAATGAAAACTAGAGATGCCACTGCTATTGCTCCAAATCCATAAAACAATATTCCAGCTCCCAGCAATGCCTGTTTCAATCAACGTCAACATTCGTAATTATCTCACTCACGACACGATACAAGAACGAACATTCCCAAAGACAATTTAATTAACAAAATTCCAAAAGAAATAACACAGCCGGTAATCTTAAGTACCTTTAGAGGAGAAAATGCAAATGTCACCAGCGCATTTGCAGCAAAATTCACAAGCACTGCTATACTCAGTCCTCGCCCCCTTAACCGTAAGGGGAATATTTCTGATATCATTAGCCAACCAATGGGACCAAAAGATATCTGCACAACAAGTTTCCATGGGTTACACTACAGAACTAAAAACCTATCTAAAAAGAACAAAATATACGGTATACAACTTCTGATTACCTGATAACACCCAACATACAGCAGCAGAGCAACTACAGCCGCAACCGGTGCATTATCAAAGAAAAGGTAATATGATCCCAAAAGGAATAACGAGATGACCTGTCATATGAACAAAGTACATAAATTCTTCATGGTACTCAAACGCTCAAAGATAGTTGGTTCTAGTCTTATAATATACGAAAAGTGAATAAAAATGAAAACATCAACCCAAAAGAAGCCTTACCATCCCCGTAACACCTCCTAGTAGTAGAGGTCTTCTCCCGAGTCTATCAACAAGAAGAACAGCTGCTCCAGTCATTATCAACTACAAGAAAAAGATAAGAGTCAGACATATGTGTTTAGAGAGTCGAATTCTTCAACGGAAACAGATGAACACTTTTCAGCAGGCAAAAAACAGAAAAGTTTTTAAACCACGTCCGGATAAATAGCATGGCATGTCATTTGGAAATACCTTGAAAGCGCCAAGTAAAATTGAGACCCGTGTTGCATCAGACGCTTCAGAGAATCCTGCACTCTATTATATTATATGGGTTATGGTGAGAGACATTTTCCTACGACACCCTTGTAAGGGATAATCTTTTCAACCAATGTCCAATCTGTACCCCAGATCTAAATTAGCAGGGTACCTGAAAAATCGATGCAGCATAGTACAGCACACTTGGTTGCCCTGTAATCTGTCATAGTATAGAGATGCTATGTATAAGCCAAAGATTTCAACAGATTACATCATATCATATTCCTTTCCCAACTGAAACTACCTGTTGGAACAAGACTAATCCACCACCAATCACAAGGGCCTTCAAGCATTTTCCATGAAACATCTCCCCTAATGTAGCTTCTTTCTCCTCACCAACATAAGCAAGCTCAGCCAGCATCTCATCTACTTGTTCAGGAGCTGAATCACCAATGGCTCTACCCCTAAGCCGGCACAAGCAACTGATTGCAGTCTCTTTTAATTCATGCATACTTCCTCTCCCCTGTATGGCACACAGAAGGATCCATCTAGGTGATGCTGGTAGCCACCACATTCCAATACCCATAATTATTGCCAAAGGGGCACTAACTCCATACATATAGCGCCAACCAGCTACTATGTCAACTAAAAGGCTACCAATTCCATAACCTGCCTGCACAAAATTCAAGTGCTTATGATTTGCTGGCCTTCGTGAATATACAAAAAAATAGTAAGATAAAACTTTTAAAGAATAAGCTACAAAAAAGAGGAGCAAACTTGAAGACAGCTTTTAGTTGGCTTCATTGCATATCACGGCAGAAAAAAAAAAAAATCATAGACTCTCAGATGGAATGTAGAAGAACTTACAACCATCCCAAGTACAATGAAGAACTCTTTGAGCGATATTAGGCGACCCCGTATAGCACTAGGAGCTGTCTCAGCAATATACATTGGAGCAGCATGCATTGCCTAAAAGAGAAGAAATTGAAAATTTATACATCTCCAGTTTCATAGAAGGAGCTAAGTATAGCTTTGCATTGAAAAAAAAAAAAAGCATTCTATTCATTACCAGTCCAATTCCTATACCATATACCAAGCGTCCAATCACCATAACAGGCAAGTCGGGTGCTACTGCTGTAACTAGAGCTCCAAGAAGATACAATAAAGCAGCCAAAATCAACTCCCTCCTTCTTCCTTTATACATATTAACCATTCAAACTTCATCAGTAGTGGAAGACTTCATCAGTTTTACTTGTATAATTTGGAATGTATTAGAAAAAGGTGAAAACCCCACCTAAGAAGTCAGCAATGTTAAAGGCCATCAAAGATCCAATCAACGCCCCATATAATGAGCCACTGGTCTGCAAATGAAACAGGTACCAATTAGATACATTAATCTTCTCTGAAGCCAAAGAAAGATGCACAAGGAGCTGGCATAACTAAAAAGAAAAAACATTCGTAGAGTTTTCAGTGACAGCAAGGAAGATTACTTATAAACTTACTATGAGACCAATTTCCACAGATGATAAGTTGTACCATGATACTCCGCTTAATGTGGCCGACTGCATTGAGTATGTTCTAAGTGAATCAGCAGTTACAAATAAAGTACGAAGAACGCGCTTTATGATTAATAGCTCATGTATACCTCTACGGAGATTGTAGCACATGACGTTGCACCAATATCATAGCCATATAGTAGTCCTCCGAGAGCTGGGAATAGAAATCTGAAATCATCAAGGAGCAGTGTAAAGCCAGAATAATGTGATTATCTGTCAAATTTTCAGTCTAAACAGAAGAATAAAACAGATAAAACCGAAAAAATACTCACGGTAGGATTGCGGCAATAAGAGAATAGTTTTCTGAATTGTGAACCCCATTAAGAAGTGGCTCCTGTGTGTCGCCGATTTCACCTGAAGACTTCCGCACCTGAAAAATGGCAATGCGCTAACAACTCCGAACGGGGCAGATATCTAAAACAAACAATCAAACTCAAGCCGGTTTTGTTATCAAGCGACACAAGTTAATGTTCTTAATTCTCAACGGAATCAAACAGAACACACATGTTAAAATGTAAAAGGAACCAAGAACTTTCATAGGTAGAATCGAACACTAGTGACGATGAAGAAGACAAAATCCTTGTCATTTTCCTACACCTTGTCAGGCATCAAACTGGAATTGAACTAATCTTTAATAAAACACCAATACCAAAAGTAACAAAATCCCAACTCACAAAACCAAATTATACAAATTTTCAGTTTTATCAAACGAGGCCTTAAAGCTTTGTTCTTCCAACAGAATTAAACAGTATAAAATCCAAATAATCTTCTGAGATTTGTTTTAATTCAGCTGAACGACTCGTAATTTGTTCCATAAACACAAAGAGAGAAGGAAATTACAAAAAGTGCAAAATAATCAAAATTGAGGGCAGAAAAATGAAACCTTTGCGAGAGAAGAGAGCGCGGGCTTCTCAGGATCCGACGCCATTGCTGCCTGCAGCTCACCACACCAAAGAGGTCCCCAGAAATTGAATTGAATGGAGGTTGCTGTCGGCGTATGAAAGAATACCAAACGAAATTTAGGAGCTTTTTTTGGTTTGGTTTTTCAGGGTCACGTGGAGATCGATGGGGAAGGTTATCGAAACTGGCAAGGGAGATGAGAAGAAGTCGCAAATAAAAAGGTTCGTATGTTGTTAGTTAGGTGAGTCCAAATGCAGTTGCAGTGGTCATGCAGAACTGAGTCGTGACTCGTGACTCGTGACTCAAAACCTGACTCGAGCAGAAACAGAGAATGGAGGTTGCTTTGCTGCGAAGGCTTTCTTTTGTCTAATTATTTTTAATTTTAAATCCCACTTTTATAGGTTAAGAGAAGTCGTGATTAATTAGCTTACCTTACGCTCTTACTTTTTAGTAATTTTCCATGACAAATTTGGCACAAGGTTTTTTCTGTTTATTTATGAGAATTTTAACGAAAAGTTTCCGTTACTGTTTATTTTAATGAAAAATCATATTTTTACACTAAAAAATTAATATTGTACTATTTACTTTACATTTTATTTTGTTTTTATTGTTAAAACTCAAAATTTTTAAATCATTTTTATTAGTTGTTCTTTTATTTATCTAGTATTTTGGGTAAAAATTTGGCACAAGATTTTGAACATGATTGCAAATGCATGGTATTAGAAAAGCATGACGCGGAATGTAGCAGACAGTGCGGCAGTGTCTGTCGACTTGTAAGCTTCTCCTTCACTAGCTTGTTAGGCCGACGCATGGAGAGTAAGAGCTCATGCTCTCCACTTACCAGTCCCTTCCAGGCTTCCACTCCCATCAATTCACGCAAATCTTTTTGCCACGCCTACTTATTTGAAATTATCGGAGAGGTCATGAATCGGTACAAGGAAAACTGAGAGTGATAAGGATCGCGTATGTCACAAGCGACACTCCTAATCATCCCGTACATGTATGTTTCGGTATTGCCATAACCCAAATCAATGTGTAATCCACCTACTTTTTCATGTATGTTTTTTTTATGTATCTGTTTCGCTCAGCAACGGACATTTCAGCACTCGAGAACAACACCAATTAGCACTAGCAGTGCTCAGTGCACATTGCTACTACTCCTACCGTGAAACACAACCCTTTTGAACTGATATTATTCACCCAACAAATCAAAATACCAGCATTTCATTGAACTATGAAGTTTTTAGGACTGTTCTCCACACAGCAAGCATTCCAAAAGATTCACAGCTAACACAAGTACAAGCCATTTATTAACCGAATACACGGCACAATAGTGCCAAATCTTTTCAAGTTTGAGCACGTACGTGCCACAGAAACAACTCACTCCTTCTTGGTTGGTTCCCAAGGTTGGTACCTGGTCCAGTCTCTCTGCCCTGGATTGAGGCTGTGGCCCTTGGAATGGTAAATAAACTCATCACCCTCCCCAGTGAAATTTTCTTTGTGTTCAATGCCATACCTCTTTGGTTTTAGCATCAAAAGCTGCAACAAGAATTCATTGTTTGTTAGCTACATGTAACAAGATTTTCACAGCATACACGATCAAATATTTCAAAGGGAAGCAGGACTGGCCTCATCTCCTGTATGATCAGTTATGTAGTGCAGCCAACCATGCCATTCTGGTGGTACTTGAGAAGCGTTGTAGCGACTCTTCTCTGCATATTCAACCCATCTGTGTCTTCCTGTAAAATCCCTCTGGTCAATTGTTAGCTGTGAGCATTCATACCACAATAACCTCGAAGCAACGCATAACTTTGAAGAATGGCATCTTCCCAATGCATCAAAGAGGAAAATTAGAACAGTTGTTATATCTAACTCATGGCTGTAACTCACATGGATGTGGTGAAATTTTATGTACCAAGGCATGTAAGCATCTAATACGAATTGTCCAATTGCACAAAAACCCGCTAGCAGGCTAGCACCATTAATTTCCTTGCATTCTTATAAAGAAATACGGGACCTTTGTCAAAATTTGTTCAGCCTACAAAAGAGTCGAACCATTTTACCACGGGGAAGAGGAATTTGCACACTTCCTAGGAAACTAAAATTATTTCTTTACCTTCTTCCAAACCTTAGGAATATGGAAATAAGATTTGAAAAGATCCATGAGATTAAGATTTGTATCATGATTTGAATATGGCTTGTTCTTGGAAATGATAATCGACACCAATGTCATAACTCCAGTGCAATGCAGTAAAGAATATTTTTATGCTATAGTAAGAAAGGCATCAGAAGGTGGGGAATGAAGAAAACACTAACCATATTGAGCGTCAAGCTTCTCATAATATTTATTGCCAATGTTATCAACACCTACAAGCCTTGCCCCAATATTGTGGATCTTAGTTTGCCTACAGCATCAAACAAAAATTTGCTAGATATGCTAAAGAAACAAAGATGACTAACACAATTAAAAAATGAAAACCACAAAGAAGCAAAAGTAATCCCTCATTCGAATGTTCATTTTCTTTACAAGAGAGAAATTGTTAACTATATCAGACTCCCAGAATTATGAATAACTTATCCTTATGGGGCTGTTGCTTTTTGCAGCATCCAAGTAGCAACTAGCCTACTGGTCACAATTCAATGTTTTAACTTTTATGTTCTCTTCGAATAACATGGCATATAAATTTTAACATGCAAGATCTGTACTCAAAATAAGAACACTCTAAATATCATGTAAACATGCATTATGCTTGTTTGTTAAGGATATCAAGTAAAGGGGAAGTAATGTGACTTACGTAAGGTTTCCATCGAAAATACAATTTCTGCAAGATTTGGAACGGTATAAACAGTCAGCACGGTATAAAGATATAGGATACGAAACCCAAAAAAGCAATTTAAGAGCCATTCAACGAGCTACCAAAAGACGTCTCAGTGAACCCTGGACATCAGAAAGTGCTCCAAAACAGTAATTATAACATAAGATATCGTCCCTGAGCGCCAAATAGTAAAGCATTTGGACAAAAGTTTTAGCTTCGAATCTGTTTTCCTTCCTACATTTTCCTACCAAGCCAACAGATTTAACATCAGAGAACAGACCAACAAAATTTTCTCAACCCACCCAGCTCAAGAGCTGTTTGTTTCAGCACCTCTTCAAATTTTCGGACTTCCGAAAATTATTTCTTTCTTCAATGCAGCAAAAATAAGAAAACCCCAAATCGAAAATTCAAAATCTAAAGTTGCCATCCCACATTGATTTGTCTTTTATTTAACAGGTGCCAAGGAGGACAGATTGGATTCAGAAACATTACTTGCAATAAGCAAAATACCAACGATGCTCTTGGCATCCAATCACATACATCCAACGAGCAAATTTGAGATCTTTGACATCTCCAAAAGCATTATATTAACAAAAAAAAACAAATAAATCAATTCGTAAAGCAAAAGATGGAGATAGAACATACAAGAAGCCATCCTCCTTGAGCTCCTTTAAGTAGCTGCGGAGACCTCTCTCTCTGATTGCCTTCGCAACGCTCTTCACCGCCGTCGCCATTTCTCTCCCTCTCTCCCTCTCCTCCCTCTCTCGCGCTCTGTAGGGCCAGGCTCTCTCGAACTCGGCCCGTTCCTAATATTTGACGGGCTCGGATTTAAGTCGGGTCAGAAAAATAAACTCGGATTGGGTTTAGTTTGGGTCCTTCACCACGTGGCATTTCCCCATTGGGTAGACCTACATCATTTTTGTTTTCATTTTTTAATTGGCCTGACAGCTTTTCTTTTTCTTTTCTTTTCTTTTTTTTTAATTTTCTGAGAAAATAAAAGACGGACGGAAGGAGAAGAAACACCAGAAAACCCGAAATTTCAACAGAGCGAACTTCACAGGTACTCTCAGTTGCTTCAATTTTTCTATGAATTCTCATTTGATAAGATGAAATTAATATTTACTTTCTTAAAATTGCTTTCCAATTTTTAATTTTAATAGTGCTTCGGATTTAGGGCTCATTTGATTTGATTGGGATTTCATTTGTGTTGTTTGAAATTCTAGGTCTCAACTCGATGGCACTGTAACGTTCTTAAATTTGAATCGGTTTGGAAAAAGCGCATCAAGAAGTTGTCGATTGTTGTCCCGTAACAGCAACCTTAATCGATTAGGTTTGAGGAAAATGATGAAGCTGCAAACCTATGCGGGGATTAGTTTGGTAGCAACCCTAGCGATTGTTTATCATGCATTTAGTAGTAGAGGTCAGTTTTATCCGGCAATGGTGTATTTGTCGACGTCGAAGATCAGCTTGGTGTTGCTTCTCAACATGGGTCTGGTCATTATGTGTACTATGTGGCAATTGACTAAAAAGATCTTCCTTGGATCACTCCGGGAAGCCGAGGTGGAGAGGCTTAACGAGCAATCGTGGCGGGAAGTCATGGAAATCCTCTTTGCCATCACTATATTCAGGCAGGACTTTTCGGTCTCGTTTCTTGCTATGGTTACTACTCTCTTGTTGATCAAGGCTTTGCATTGGTTGGCTCAGAAGAGGGTTGAGTACATCGAGACTACTCCTTCCGTGCCCATGCTGTCTCATGTTCGGATTGTCTCCTTTTTGGGTTTCTTGCTTGTTCTAGATAGTCTCTTTTTGTACAGTTCTGTTAGCAACTTGATAAGGACACAAAAGGCCTCGGTTTCCCTCTTCTTTTCATTCGAGTAAGTGATCCATCTTAATTATTCTATTTGTTTTCATTTTGGAACATCCTACATTTTATTTGATCAAAATTTGATAACTTTAGCATCTTTTTATCTGATAATTAATATTGCATTTAGCTTCATTATATTGGAAATGAGTTGAGCAAGTCTATTGTGTGGTCGTGGAAAGTGGTTGATAGGGCAGATGATATGATGATCCATTGAATGATTTATGTCGAGTACGAAATGCAATAAGGGAGAACTAATAGTTGTGATGGGATTATACGGAAAGGGAAAGCCTTAGATATAAAAGCCAATAATATGGATAAGTAATGAATTTCTGCATTCTTCAGTCTTTCTCATTTTAACAATGTCCATGATTCTGTATCCAGGTACATGATACTAGCAACAACAACAGTGTCAACGTTTGTGAAATATGTTTTCTATGTAACTGACATGCTTAAGGAGGGACAGTGGGAGAAGAAGCCTGTCTACACGTTCTACTTGGAACTTATTCGGGACTTGCTTCATTTGTCTATGTATTTGTGCTTCTTCCTCGCGATTTTCACGTGAGTATTCTGTTTATATTTTGGTTTAGATAAATAGCTGTACACTCAATTTTTTGCTAAAGACACCATTATGAGAATGTGTTGGGCTTGACATGTGTTGAATGCAACATGTTTGGCTCCCAAGTGATGGAGAAGCTGTGGACCTGAAATGTTAGAATATGAGACAATAATTGGGCAGAAATCCTATAAATTTAAGCATGTGGAGATTTTTGCTTGTTGACTAGCATAAGCTGAGGTTATTCTTATCTTGATTGACGTGAAGTTTTGTCCCATCCCAGGTACTATGGTGTGCCACTGCACTTGATACGTGAGCTTTATGAAACATTTAGGAACTTTAAGCTTCGCATTGCTGATTACATTCGTTATCGAAAGCTCACATCAAACATGAATGATCGATTCCCAGATGCTACGCCTGAAGAGCTTAATGCGTAAGTTTAAAGTCTCATTAGTTTCAAGTGTTTTATTTTGTAATCATCAAATTCTGCATATTGGAGTCTTAGTTGTTTATGATGGTTATGCAGAAGTGACGCAACTTGTATCATTTGCCGTGAAGAGATGACAACAGCCAAGAAACTATTATGTGGACACCTTTTTCATGTGTCTTGCCTTCGATCATGGTTAGAGCGACAGCATACCTGCCCTACTTGCAGGGCTCTAGTTGTACCTCCTGACAGTGGGACAGGTACAGCTGGCGGGCATAGGGGCTCACAGTCAGATGCTCATCAACAGGGTAAACTTCTGAGCATTGCAATTGTTGTTTTGTCTTTTAATTTCTGTGTGACAACGTAAGGTCTGATATGTGGTCATTAAAGAAAGGGCACTTTGTTGTTTTTAATTTCAGAACTTTGTGGTTATATACTTACACTTCCTTTTCCTTCATCCATGAAAGATTATTATAGAAGGAAATGAAAAATGAAGGCACCAATAAAATGCCAGTTGGATTTCATGTTTCATGGTCGCTCTTTTTTTTCTTTCATATAATATATTTTTGATCATATGGGACTCTGATCTTTTGTTCAGTGTAAAATGTGAGTTAACTGATGATTTTAATTGGGAACAGGGACAGGCACAATGGCTCAGGGTGCTGGAGTTGCTGGTGATAGTGTGAGCCAACATGAAGCCAGGCTCCGAGCTGCTGCTGCTGCTGCATCAATATATGAGAAGTCTCATGTATATGCTTCTGCAAACAGACTAGTATGGTAATGACACATTTATCCCCAAGTTAACGTTTACATTTTTATTGGTGGAGAGGTCATATGTTCCCATTGTATTTTAGTTTGTTCCCAGGTTGCTTGTGAGAGTGTGTGCTTGATACATATGATTTGGATATGTTGCACTGCCATAGAATGCTGCGTACTAGAGTCTTACAAACTACGCCCTCTTGTGTGTAGGTCTCCTGGATATGCGGCACTTCCTCAGGTTCAAAGACATACGGCTGACTCCCCTAATACTGAATCTAGTGGAGAAGCGTCTAGTGGACAATCACGGCCTCAGCTTGCAACCCCTGCTGGAGCTGCAAACTTGTCCTTCTCTCAGTTTCCACCTTACATGTTTGTTCCTGGCGCCAATGTGGCCTATGGGGGGAGGCTGAGCAGCGATCAAAATCTGACAGCTTCTCAGCTGGAGGCCCAGAAAAAGTTTCTTCAGGCCCAGATAGGGGTATTATTAAAGAGAAGATGAATCACTTCTGTTTTGATTTGTGGTCGTTACCCCCATTTTCTCGTGCTTAGTAACTGCTTTTCTTGTACAGATACTGCAGAATCAGCTCCAAGTTTTACAGAAACCAAAACCAAAGGAAAGTGTGGACATGGGTCCAACAGGGGCATCTTTGGATGGCAAAGGAAAGAGCGTTGCAGCTCCTTCATCTGTTTCAGATTGTGGACGTCATGAAGATCGGGTTGATACGTAGACATGGCATAACTTTAGGTATATTGTAAGAAAACAAGGGATGAGAAAATTAGTATAGGGATGGATGAATAACTGGAGTATTGAGTTTGAGCATATTATTGTATAAGTAAACTCTTTTCATCTTTATGAAAAAGAAATTTATCTTTTTGTACTTGTAACATTTACCAATACCGTTTGCGAATGGTAGAATTGTGTAGAACTTGTAATGCTGCTTCTATTCTATGAGAGATTTTTCAATTTGACCGGAATACTGGTGGCACTCATGGGACATGTGTACTAAAAAGTTAATAACTTAAAAAAATAAAATTTTAAAGGAGCAATCTGTGACGCTTTGAGGAAAAACAACCCCGTATCCGGCTAAGAGACCCTTTTTTCTTAATTTTTGTTCAGAGCGGGCTGTGGCTTGTTTAAAAAAAAATAAAAAAATAAATAAAAATCGCAAAATAGTAGCCTGCTCCTATTTAACGCCCTCTACATCTTTAAAATTTCAATGCGGTCTTTAAAATGACGCTTCTCCAATCAATGCTACTGGAAAAAACAAAAAACGTGCAGAGGAGTTTTTAGAGAGAACATGGATGATTGGCTTAGCGGGTTATTTGTCCACTTGGACAAAAGGGCTGGTGGTTGATGTTGAAATTTGGGGGCCATATTTTGGACTGCAACTTATAGTCGACAAGAGCATTTCAAAATTATGGGTGAAGATTGATTCAATTTTAGTGGTTAATTTAATTAATAATATGACTGATACTAGCTTTCATCCTCTTGTCAACATCATTAATCATTGCAGACAACTTGTAACACGCATAGCCGAATGCGAGTTAGTGCATATCTACCGGGAGAAGAATATGATGGTAGATGAAATTGCTAGTGAGAATTATAAAATGGATCTTGGGTATCATTTTTTTATAATCTTCCAGACTGAATTGGAACTCGGTTATTTGATAATATGATGTGAGTTCCTAGAACTCGAACTATATGTAATAAGAGCTAGTTTTGGAGGTATCCACCCTCTTATGTTACCAAAAAAGAAAGTGATTATAATCCCTTAATATGAAAGAGTCAACCATCGTTCTATCTTTCAACCATTTTAACACGCGAGAAGTTTTTATTGGATTTGTGGTTCACTTTTTTTGTTGACTCATCACCTTACTCCATGCCCACAACAATTGACCTTCCCTTGTTACTATTTTTGTTTTGGGTTGATCCCAAAGCTCGCATCGCAGTTAACTTAACATGCTGCAATCTGCATGTTGTGTTAATTCGTCAAATTTCGTTATCAGGTTTAATTTGGACATATAAGATCGATCTTCATTGAGTGTTAATTTATGCAAATTAATTCCTTGAAGCTCTAAGCACCAGAAATATAAAAGTAGAAGCAAAGTAAATTGTCTGTGACAGCCGTGAAACCAAAAAATCTGTGACGGCATGAAACGAAAAGTACTGGGGGTTGGTGGGGAGGGGGGAGGAATAAAGAAAACACCTTTTGGGTTTTGTAAGGTGGCATGGAATAGCTGACTAGCAAGTAGCAACAGATGGCCAACAAAACGTTCATTTTTAAGATTTTAAATGAAGGAATTCTGATTAGACTATTAATTAGGTGAAACTTGACCTTTCTTACTAATAAGAAATAGAAAGGTAGAAAAAAAGCTACAAAAATAATTATATTATGGATGATTCAACGCCGTAGCCTTATCGCAGCAGCACCAGATTCAAACCGCTAACTTTGGTCGTATTTCCACTACTTGTATAGATATTCATTAGTCCTACGGCAGTTGAGTACTAACTAGTCCAAATCAAGTTGGACTGGTCAATCTTCCCGTCCCATAGCCTTGAATTTCTTATTGCTCCTGAAAGCATCAGAAACTGACCAAAAAAGGTGTTATCAAGCTTTTACAACCTGCAGGTCATCACCCACTCCTTTACTAGCCTCAGAAGATCAAGCTTTTCCAACATGGTAATTGCATAAAGGATGGCTTTATGCCATTCTCCTGTAAACCTAAACGATAAATTAACTCTCGCCAATTCTTATTAATTTCGATTTATGTTAAATCATGAAGAATTAACAGGGAAGACGATGGACTTGTGGGAAGGAGAGAATGTGAGAGGAGAGAACATATGCTTTGATTTTGAGTTTTATTTTTAAATGGGTGTTGAATTGAGTTTGTGAGTGTAGGGTTTAAAGATATATTAATAGTTTAGTTACAAATAATATGGGTGTAGAAAGTAAGTTGAGTATAAAGAGGTTATATGAATTCAAATAAAATTACCCATTATATGATTAATTATTTAGTAATCGCGATTTTGGCATGAGATGGAGGATTGAGGGAGGTGGAAGGAGGAGGAGTGCTAGCTACCTTCTTAGTTTTAGATCCTTTCACCCTCCCTCTGAATATTTGGATACCAAATTAGTGACGATATGAAGCACAGCGTTTCATGAACACTTCTTACTTAGCATTAATGTTCTAAAATATGCTAGACACTAGTCGGGAGGCGGGTTGAGGCCTAGGCGGATTTAAGTGAATTTATTATATATCGTATATAATAAGTGTCTATTTATATTGGAATACATAAATTACAAAATAAAATGACATATAGATTATAAAATTCTATAACATATTAAAAATATAGGGAACAAGTATATAATGATTGATCATCCTAGTATTCAACAAATCTCTTACATTTTATTGAACAAAATAAAATACAAAATGAAAGTTATTAATTTTTTGTATAAGTAAGAGTTACGATCTATACGGGTGTCTAGACATGTCGGTAGGTTAAGCGGATGCCTAAGTAGGTCTAGGTGTCATTTTCAAATTTTCAAACGTTTAGAGATTATCTGGATGATAGTCAGCCGTCTAACGCCTAGGCAGGATTTTTAGAACAGTAATTAGCGTTGCATTCACTGTTAGCTTTAAACTTCACCAGTAAATTAATTAATTTTCGATTACATACAATCGGCTTCTGTGCTTTTATCTCTATTATATAATATATATATATATATATATTTATGAGTTTTTATCTGAAATTAACTCGCTCAATTAAGATGGTCTTTAAAATTAAAAATTGACCAATGTAATCATTAAAAATGTGTGTCGCAAATTGATGTGGTCCTTTCGTCATAATTCTGTTAACTACTCGGGATCGATCTATCCTCTGATGCGTTTAGCTTGGATCCAACTTTTAGGTTCTCCAGAAATGAAATACCCAAATTACTCATGGAATGCATAATTATAACAATGCACTGCTGCGCTCAAAATAAACCCGTCTGCCTCTCCAGACTTACTGAAGCTCAAATTAGGGACAGGTAGGTGAAGGAGCCGGGTAAGCAAGGGAATTTTTGCCGTCCTGATTTATTAATGAGTAATCACTAATTAGTCAAACTAAATCTTTATTCATCTCTTTTAAGTTTTAAAGACTATTTATAATAAAAACCTTATATATATCCATCCTCAACTCATCATGCGAACTGCATCTGTTAAAGACATAGGAAAAGAATGCCGTCGTCGATCCGCATGAAGATTTTAATTAGCTTGAAACTTGTAGTGGGCTTGTTATTGTCTACTGTTGGCAACTTCCATTGCCAAGCTTCGCCTCCTCGTTACACTTTTGTGGTAATTAACTCCAGTTCAGTTCTGAATTCTGATGCATGTGTATGAATTGCACGAGAGACCATTTACTTAAATTATATTTTGTAAATCACATGATGTGGTAGTTGATAGTTGGATTCCTTCTTTTAAATTATTAAAAAATTAATCCAATCATCAATTGTCATATAATTTGGTTTACAAAATATAATTTAAAACATGATCCCCTTCCATTTTCCCGTGATAGTATATTAACTTATAATGCATATACATATATCAGTGATTTCAAAGATATTAATGAATTGATATCTTCTGTTTGTTGTAAAAATCAATTTTAGGTGGAAGAAACTCCATACAAACGACTGTGTAGCACAAAAAACATCTTGACTGTAAACGGCCAATTTCCTGGACAAACGATGTATGTTCACGCTGGAGATACTATCGTGGTGGATATCTATAACAAGGGAAATCGTAACATTACCATCCACTGGTAATTAATCAACTTTATACAGTGCATGTAATCTCATCTGGCTTTTACATAAATGTGTGATATGATTCTACAATTCTGAACCATCTATTTCAGGCATGGAGTTAAGCAACCGAGGAATCCATGGTCGGACGGTCCTGATTACATCACACAGTGTCCTATCCAACCAGGAGCCAGGTTTACCCAAACCATTATATTTTCCTCAGAGGAAGGGACTCTATGGTGGCATGCTCACAGCCAGTGGGATCGAGCCACCGTCCACGGTGCTATAGTCATATACCCCAAGAAGGGAGCCACTTACCCTTTTCCCAAACCTCACGCTGAATTTCCAATCATCTTGGGTATGCAAATCAATTCAAACTTCAGTTCCACAAACATTAATGAAAAGATTTCTGACATTATGAGCATAGTGATCTCTATATAAACATTTCCAAATTACGGTCCTAATTTTTGTGCAAATTGTTGATTCGAAAATTGTAGGAGAGTGGTGGAAGGAAGATATCGGTCAACTGTACAGTGAAATGATTCAAAGCGGAGGGGACGCAAATACTTCAACTGCTTTCCTCATCAATGGTCAACCAGGCGATCTCTATCCTTGCTCAAAACCAGACACATTTAAGCTCAAAGTTGTTTCCGGCGAAACCTACCTGCTCAGACTAATCAACTCCGTAGTGCAAGAGATGATGTTTTTTGCCATTGCCAATCACAAAGTCACGGTTGTAGGCTCAGATGCTAGCTACACCAAGCCATTTTCAACAGATTATGTGACCATATCTCCCGGCCAAACCATTGACCTCTTGTTAAATGCGGACCAAATTCCCAACAACTACTACATTGCTGCTAAAGCCTATAGTGCCGGGGCTGGGGTTCCCTACGACAACACAACCACCACGGCCATACTCCTATACCAAGGAAATTCTAATTCATCTCCTACTTCTTTGCCTAATATTCCTTCCCGTAACGACACCAACGCATCGGTTCACTTTACCGGTAAACTCAAAAGCTTGGCTGATAAAAACCACCCCATTGACGTGCCGCACAAGATAACAACTCATTTGCTCTTTACACTCTCCGTCAACTTACTACCCTGCCCGAATAATTCATGTGCTGCGCCAAACGGGACTCGTATTGCCGCCAGTGTCAACAACATTAGCTTTGTCAACCCCACCATTGACATATTGCAAGCTTACTATTACCATGTCAATGGGGTATATGGAACTCGCTTTCCAAATTTCCCGCCCTTGCTATTTAATTTTACAGCTCAGCACTTGCCGTTGTACCTACTCCCGGCGAAACGATCGACAGAGGTGAAGATACTGGAGTACAACTCAATGGTTGAGATTGTGTTTCAGGGGACAAATATAGTGGATGGAGATGACCATCCGATGCATCTCCATGGATTCAGTTTCTACGTTGTGGGATGGGGGTTTGGGAATTTTGACAAGGAAAAGGACCCTTTGACGTATAATCTTGTCGATCCTCCTCTTCAGAACACCATCGCTGTCCCTAAAAATGGTTGGACTACCATTAGATTCAAAGCAGACAATCCTGGTACGTAATTAATGAAGATGTTCATCATCTCTAGTAATTAACCGCCCTTAATTAGTTATATTAATGAATGATAATTAGATCATATGATAAATTGTTCTTGTGTTGTCCTTGTGTGTAGGAGTTTGGTTTATGCACTGTCATACTGATCGACATATGTCATGGGGCCTAGTCATGACGTTCATAGTGAAAAATGGAAAGGACCTAGGAGCGCAAATTTTACCTCCGCCGCAAGGAATGCCTCCGTGCTAACAATTTTTATATAGAACTATGTTCCAAAATGTGCGTACCATATGTATAGCCCCACTTATTTGTAGTCAATACAAGAAGCTTCTTAGCATTGACTAGGGTCATGTTGAAATTTCCTCATAAAAAGATATTAAAATTTGAAATTAATAATCTCGATTGATTAAATTTATGCAACTTATTGTCTTGAAATGTCTTGTTCAAGTGCCAGACCAGGTCGATACTGGTCCAGAATCATATAGTTTTCAATCACCAGGGCCAACTTGTATTAATATTCAAATGACTAGTCCAAATCAATGAAGTTGCAGAAATTTAATCAATCGTGATTATTTATTTCAAATTTTAATATCTTTTTATGAGGAAATTTCAACATGGACCCAGTCAATGCTAAGAAGCTTCTTGTATTGACTACAAATAAGTGGGACTATATATGGTACGTACATTGGCTATTAGATGTTTCTTCCCTGAACCCCTATACTGGAAATTTTTTTATGTGTCTGATGCAACGTCTACTAGTTTTTCTATGATAATAACTCTATCCCTGGTTTATTTTTGAAATGTCATCATAATATTGTCCAATCGCCGTATCTCCCACTGCAGCATTTGAGTTCTCTAACGTATATACATATAGACTCGTTATTATCTCATCAAAGAAATTGATGTTAATTTTTTCAATTGTTAAACAAAGGAGGTTAAGGAATTTTACCCCAACATATATTTGAAAGCACAGGTGATCATAGTAAGCGCATCGCTGCAAAGATGACTCAAACAAGGATTAACAAAAGAAGTTAATACAAAGAGCTGATTTCCATTCAAGTATGAATTCTTACAAAGGATACACACATATTTATAGATTAAGGAGGAACTCTCCCGAACCTCTTCTAACTATATGGGAACATGAAGAATCTTCCTTCCTTGTCCATTACTTACGCAAGATAAGAAGGAATTTTTTAGGAGTTATGAGAAACGTTGAAGCCACACACCTTTTACATTGAACAGTCGCCTCCCAAAATGATATAGAAATGTCATACATCGACTGTATCTATGAGAAAATAAGAGTTTAAATACCTTAATTTCACTCAAACTAATACGAGACATTTGGTGATAAACCCAAGCATGACGGATTGTGCATGTTTACCAAGTTAATACGACAATATCGGTATTGTTGAAAAGTGGGCATTTGACCCATCTCTTTAATAATTTTACAAATAATTTATATTTTAAGGATATTCTTGTACGCAAACCTCGATTTTCATTTTAATTGCTAATAAATATCGAACAAATATGTTGGGCTCAATCTGTGTTGATTGCAACACCCATGCGGCGGAGAAGCTGTGGACATGAAATGTTGGAATATGATACAATAGTTGGGCCGAAGTCCTACTGATTTAGTTTTAAGCATGCGTCGCATTTTTTCTTGTTGGTTTTTGCATAAGCCGAGGTTATTCAATGTTGATTGACGTGAAGTTTTGTCCCATCCCAGGTACCATGGCGTGCCACTGCACTTGACACGTGAGCTCTATGAAACAATTAGCCAATTGGGAAGAAAGTGATGCAACTTGTATCATTTGTCGTGAAGAGACGACAATAGCCAAGAAACTATTATTTGGATACCTTTTTCATGTGCCTTGCCTTCGATCATGGTTAGAGCGACAGCATACCTGCCCTACTTGCAGGGAATTAGATCCATCCGAATTCACTGTGCGGAAATTTTAAGGATCATCACATTTCAGCCGGTTATCATATATCGTGCGTAAAAATTTATTTGATTTTTTAATTTAAAATTAAATATAAATAGTATTTGACGAAAATTGACCCCACGATTTATGATAAATGGCTAGGATGTTGGGATCCTTAAAATTCCTACAAAGTGGATTCGGAGAGAATCCTCTTCCTACTTGTAGTACCTCCTGATAGTGGGACATGTACATAGGGGTTCAAGGTTAGGAGAAATTTTTCATTGAGTAATGTTATTCATATTATGTTTTTATATTACATTTCTATACCACCTTAGGTGACATCTGACGTGGATAGCCACACCAATTGAAAAATTTGCAAAACACAAGGAAATGAATCAGAAATACTTCTCGTATACCACAATTATCATTTAATTAACTAGTTTTTCTTAATTATTAGTTTATTAAATAATGAACAAAATTTAAAAATGTAATTAATTCAAATGATATGGCTGTCCACATCAAATGTCACCTAAGGTGGTATGAAAATGTGATACAAAAACATAGTATGAATAACATTACTCTTTTTCATTGTGACGGAAATATGGATGATACACCATGTACTTTTATGTAAGTTGTGGGAAATTGTACTTTTTAAGTTATTAACGTTTTAGCACATATATTCTACTATTGGCATAGTAACACATGATGTACTATCCCGTGTTCTAATCACATTGAAAAATCTCTCCATGGTCAGATGCTCATCAACAGGGTAAACTTCTGAGCATTGCAATTGTTGCCGTGTCTTTTAATTTCTGCGTGACAACGTAAGCTCTGATATTTGGCTATTAATGGAAAGGCACTCTGTTGTTTTTTAATTTCAGAACATTGTGGTTTTTAAAAATACATTTCCTTAATTTCCTTCATGCATGAAAGATTATTATACAAGGAAATGAAAAATGAAGGCACCTATAAAATGCCAGTTGGATTTCATGCTTCAGGGTCGCTCTTTGTTTTTCATTCATATAATCTATTTTGATCATATGGGACTCTGATCTTTTGTTCAGTATAAAATTGTGGTGAGTTAACTGTTGGAAAGAAATCATAATCCCTTACAATCAGGGAATATAATAGGCGCGTATGATGCAAATGTTTGAATATAATAGGCGCGTATAATCCCTTACAATCAGGGAATATAATAGGCGTTGTAGAGAAAGTTTATAGGTTCTTTGCTGTATATAACGATTCTATTGTTAACAGAGTGATTATTCTGGCCAAATATTGTGTTTGTCAATCCTAATTTTACATTAATTGATGATTTTAATTGGGAACAGGGACAGGCACAACGGCTCAGGGTGGTGGAGTTGCTGGTGATAGTGTGAGCCAACATGAAGCCAGGCTCCGAGCTGCTGCTGCTGCAGCATCGATGTATGAAAAGTCTCGTGTATTGTAATGACACCTTTATCCTAAGTTAACGTTTACATTTGTATTGGTCGAGTGGTTATATGTTTCCATTGTATATTAGTTTGTTCCTAGGTTGCTTGTGAGAGTGTGCTTGATACATATGATTTGGATATGTTGCACTGCATAGAATGCAGCGTACCAGAGCCTAACAAACTACGCCCTCTTGTGTGTAGGTCTCCTGGATATGCTGCACTTCCTCAGGTATATTGTAAGACAATATATGTGGATAACAAGGGATGAAGAAATTAGTTCAGGGATGGATGAATAACTTGAGTTTGAGTTTTGAGCATATTATTGTATAAGTTAACTCTCTCCATCTTTTTGGAAAAGAAATTTATCATTTTGTACTTATAACATTTGCCAATAACTGATCGCGAATGGTAGAATTGTGTAGAACTTGTAATGCTGCCGTTATGTACCCTATCGGCTTCTTCTGTATTAATTCAAACCCCATGGAAAGGAGCGATATTGAGAGATTTTTCAGTGTGACCGGTACACAGGATGGTACATCACGTGTCATTATACAAATGATGATATATGTGTGTTAAAAAGTTAATAACTTAAAAAATTAAATTTTTTCATCACTTATATAAGAATACGTGGTGTATCACTCATGTTCCTACCATAATAAAAAATTTCTTATCGATCTGTAACGCTTCCAAGAAAAACAACCTTCTATCCGGCTAGGAGACCCTTTCTTCTTCATTTTTGTTAAAAGCGGGATGTCGCTTGTTTTTTTTTTTTTTTCAAAAAAAATATATTTTCAAAAAAAATATATTGAAAATTAAAATCGTAAAATAATAATATGCTCCTATTTAACGCCCTCTAGATCTTTATAATTTAAATGGGGTACTTAAAGTGATAGTTCACGAATCAATGCCGAAGGAAATATACGTGCGGAAGGAGTTTTTAGAGATAACACCGATAATGGGCTTGACAGGTACTTTTGTCAACTTGGGCAAGGGACATGTGGTTGATGCTCAAATTTGGGGTTCATAGTTTTGTCCCATAAACTTACCATTTTACCTTCAAATACAAAATTTACATACTTGAAAAAAATTATACAAACACATAAACCCATCCAACCACCTACCCTGGCAACAACCAGACTTGATTCTGGTCATCATTCCAGAAACTATCACTACCGATCTGCTCAGAAACTGTCACCACCGATCAGCTCTTTATCTCGTCATTTTTCAATTCTTCATGCCCAATTCCATGAACATCCCCATCTTCCTCCTAGGACCGCCTCCACCATTCTTGTTTTCTAGCCATGGCTGCTCGTTGGCCCTGTGATTTCCTCCCTTGTCCACAAGAAAGACGATGATGTTGAATTAGTGGCTAAAAGGCCAAAGCTACTTTCGGCCAAATAGAAAAAGAGCAAATAATAGGGGACAACATCATTATGTCTTTTCTTGTTTTGGGGAGAAAAGCAAAAAGCTTTTGTTTTGTGGAAAATTCAAAGGCAGAGAGTGTGTTCTTCAGTGAGAGCATCATTTTGTTTTGAGAAGACAATTTTGCTCAGAGAGTAGAAAGAGCTAATTGTGGCTCTCAGGGCCATTTCAACCCACCCATTCTCTACAACTTATCATGCATATGATTTCTATTTTGGATGCAAGTCCAAAATAAAAAAGATTCATAACCCATCAGTTGCCATGGTATAGAAATTATAGCTTTAATTTGTGATATATTTTTCATAGGTTCAATGTACAATGGTTCGGGTATATATGAGGAAGGAGGTAGAAAGAAAGAGAAAAGAAAGAAAGCTGAAAAACAGCTGACAGAAAAGAGAAGAAAGAAAGTAGTCGATAAAGACTAAGAAAAGCAAAAGCAAACTAGCCTTATACTCATTACTAATTATACTACCTAGCCTAGCCTAAGCCTTAAATCATTTCCCTTAAATCAAGGAAAACATACTCATTACTCTCAACACTCCCCCTCAAGCTGGATCGAGGAGGTTCACTGAGCCAAGCTTGCCCAATAACCGATGAAACTGTGCTGATGCCGGTGCCTTTGTAAAGAGATCTGCCAGTTGATCATGGCTTCGTGTGAACATGGTTCGGATGATTTGAGTTTGAACTTGAGCTCTGATGAAATGACAATCCACTTCAATATGTTTGTTCTTTCATGGAACACAGGATTGGCAGCAATGTGCATGGCTGCCTGATTATCACACATAAACGACATAGGAGTAGAACTAGGAAACCCTAAGTTTGAAAGAAGCCCTTTAAGCCAAATGAGTTCACAAGCAGTGGCTGTCATGGCTCGATACTCAGCCTCTGCGTTGGAACGAGCAATTACCTATTGCTTCTTACTCTTCCATGTGACAAGGTTTCCACCAACAAATGTACAATAGCCTGT